GGGGATGATCATGATGGGAAAAGTGGAGCTGGCAGGAAAGGAACAGCCAGCCTGAATTCTTCCCCTCAGTGAACACATCTCTCTGAGGCAACGTGGGGCTGCAGAGCTCTGGCACAGAATGCTGAGCCGGGAGAGGGTCCTTGGCCACCCAGATCTCTCTCCTCTTGGATCCCAGCGTTTAGTCTGCCAAGGGCTGAACTGTAAACAAAACTTGGAGGGCAGATAGGGGGAGCAGGTGTGGGCAGGGGCTTCTGGGAACTTCCCAACAAGTAGCTGCCTCCAGCAGCCAAAGACCCAGGGCTCAAATAGCACCCCTCTGGGGGCTGCTTGGCAGGCATGGCTGCACAGGGCTCTGGGCACAGCCTCCTGAAGCCAAATGAGGGCCTACTTGGCTGCTGGCTGAGCTGTCTCCCTCCTTTCTGGGAGGCTGCTAGGCCTCAGTGGCCTGGGCCACCAGCTTTTGATGCCCCCAACCCCTAACTTATGGTTAAACTGCTGGACAGTCTTAGAGTCAGCAGGGACCTTGGAAGTCATTTAGTTCACCCTTGTCATCTTCCGCTGATTTCCAGAAGCAGCGGGAGGCTTTCTAGAGGAGGACTGCAGCTGGGTACTACGGGAAGGGCCAGATTTGGTCAAGTAGAGAGGGAGGGCACCAAGAAGAGGCCCAGAGACAGAAGAGAGCGGGGGGGTGTGACAGAAGGCATGAACACAGCCTCAGTGGGGGAGGGGGCTGCTGGGGAGATGTTAGCTGGGAAGCAAGAGGCCGTAGCTGACCCAGGGTAGACAGTGAGTAGGCCTTTCCCTCATTCCCTCTCTCGCATCTGGCCCTGCTGGGACCAGGTCCCCCTCTCCACCCCGGTGCCCCTTTGGGGAGAGAGAGAGGCAAGCCAGTCTAGGCAGAGCTGCACAGAGAAAGGCACATCTACCTCGACGCTTTACCTAGATGCACATTTGCTACCCCTGCCCGAGATGATGCAGGTGTATCTGAAGCCCAGGCCGTATGCCCAGAAGGTACCGGGCTGACCTCTTGTGAAGGAGCAACTCTGGCTCTTTCTTGTATACCATCTCTGAGCTGTCCAATTAGGAACATAGCCCAGGGGCAGGGCAGAAATTAGGCCAAGAAGTCTCGAGTCAAAGGAGGGTATGGGAACACAGGCCTGGTAAACTCATGTCACCCCTTGTAGAGGTGTCCAGAAATGCCAAACCAAAGCCTCAGGACAATAAGACGCCTTTTATTCTGCCTAATCGCATCTTTCCTGCTGAGAGGGAGGAAGGAATTATAAAGGTCTTTCCTAAACTGGGGCTAGAAAGGGGGCAGGGAGGTTGGTGAACCCTCCACCTAAGAATAAAAGGCAAGGGCAACAGCTCGTGCTGAATTTCTAGCTCAGAGGGCGTGAGTGAGCACTGACACTCTGCACCTCCTCCATGTTGTCAGTTGGGAAACTCCTGTCTGTTTCCTGGAGATGAGTGACAGTGAAATTACAAACCCTCAAAGGGCCTATGGGCTTGTCTTTGGGTGCAGCAAGGACAGGCAGGAGTGGGGGAAGGTAAGAAGATTATATCCTACTCTAGAAGCAGGCCTGCGGGGAAACAATCCTAGGGAATCCTGAGAACCCACAGGCTCCCTGCTTGGCAACGCGAATTTGATGATGGTGGACCCCAGCCTTGTCTCACTAAGGTAGAAAAGCAGAACCAGGCATTTTAGAAAGAATCAAAAAGGGTAAAGAAAAATGAATGTTTTTTTTTTTTTTTGGCCTAACTCTCAGTTACCCAGAAACATTCTATTCATCAGAAAAGCCCTTCCCCCAAGCATTCAGGTTTTGGCATTACAGTGTAATTGGTTTTTTTCAGTGATTAAAATCTATAGAGCTGGGGCTCTCTGTTGCAGAATAATGTAAGCTCTGCTCCTATCTCTCCCTTCTTATGAGGGGAATAATAGCAGAGTTCCTTGTGTGAGTCAAGGGCTCTCTCCACCAGCTTTTAGATAGCATTCATTGCTTCCTTCCTTCCTTCACATATGCAATGAAAATTTATTGAGCACTTTCTATGCACCAGGCATGGTACTTAGTCCTGGAGACATGGAGATAAATAAGGTCCAGTCTCTCCCCTCAGGGAGGGTGCAGTCTATGGTAGGGGCAGGTATGTAAACAGACAAATATAAAACCATGTGTCCACCTGACACGAGAGGAGGCAGCAGAGGATGCTATGGAAGCACAGAGGACAGTGTGCCCCCAACTGTGCTGTGACCACCCCCAGCAGGAGACCCCACCCCACCCCAGCTGAGTGGTGAAGCTGAGGACATTCCAGGAAAAGAATGTCAAACGTGATAGCAAATGAATAATTAGGAAGATTCAGTAAAGAGGGGAAATCTCTGGGAATTTAAGTCATGGCAATTAAAAGAAGAAATCATAGAATAAATTCAGGCAAAACTGAAGGGAATCCTTAATTTGAAGAGGTAACCAGGGACACAGTCCGGCACCGGGGTTGCCAGCCACATGTCTTATGCACAACCCCAAAGCTAACATGTGGAAGGCCCCCCTCTCATGGGAGGAGGTGGGAAGGGTGGACCACCAGCAGATGCACTGAGATCCAGCCATAGTAATGGAGACCAAAGCCAAGCTCACACACTCCATTATGCCCACACTGAAGAGGGTCTAGGTGAAATCAGCAATATGAATGGGTCAGGGCCAACAGTGGGGAATTACAAATAAGCCAACTGTGGGGCCAGATGTGACACAGGAACAGCCCCAAGGGACCTGGTCACATTCGGGTTTCAGGTGTCAGCTCACAGAGGCCAAGCTGGGTGGGGGAGGGGGGAATATTAAATGGGCACAGCAATACTACTACTCATGTACGGGCTGCAGTTCTTGCAAACAAGTCCCCCCCCCCCAGGAGGTGGGAAGCCAGCTTTGCCCAGCATTGCAAAGAAGGCTCTAAAAACTTTTCAGAAAATAATTCCTAATAGAGGTACTCAGATAGAGCCATAATATCGGATTAACAACTCCAAGCCAGCAGACCAGACACTTGTCTAATTAATAAAACTTATAAAGCAGAACAACTTATTGATGTTACAGGCATAGCACTTAGTATAACAACAAAACCCAAATCTATGCAGAACACTCCATCTTGTCTAGGAAGCCTTTTCTCTGCCAAACTGTACAATCCCCTCCTTAATGCAAAGGGGGGCTGGGGAATAGAGAAGACAGTGCAGAGCTCTGGGAACTGGCTTGGGGGAGGGGAACCTAGGGAAGGCAAACCTCTGCCTCACACACAAATCTGCCAAAGGGTAACCCCATCCTGGGCTTTGGCGTTAAGAGATCTGGGCTGGAATCCCAACTCTGTGGCAAGTTACTTAACCTCATGAGCCTCAGTTCCTTCATCTATAAAATGGGGTTCACAATAGTAGCTACTTCAAAGTACCTACAAGAAGGTTAAATATACATGTAGTTTTGGTGCAAAGTAAGCACTCAATAATGGCTATTAGCAATTATTACTATTATTATTATACATTAGTATACTAATGTCTATAAGAGGATCTGCTGTCCTCTTATAGTCCACTCAGTTTGCCTTTCTTCACAGGATGTAATGGGGGTCATCTGAAAAATGATTCAAAACTCTTCAGACCTGGGGCCCTGACTTCATATCTACAGAATGAATAAGCTTTGCCATAGATAAATCAAACTCTATTTTACTACTTCATTAAAGCCAACCTCTCATCATATTTCTAGTAGTTAACAGTGGGGGGTGAAGTGAGACCGAAATCCCAGCTCTGCCTCTCACTAGCTGTGGGACCTTGGGCTTGTATACCTGTGTCTCAATTTCCTCATCTGTAAAATGGGGATGATATTACTGTCTACCTCACAGGGTTATTGTGAAGATTAAATAAAATGATGCATGTAAAGCACTACAAACTGTGCCTGGCATACACAAAGCGCTGAGTGAATGCCAACTACTGTTCTTACTGTACATGAATTCTGACTGCTAGGTAAAGAGCTTAGCACAACGCTGGGCACATAGTAACAGCAGCTATTAGGATCATCAGTACGGCTTGGTAAAACGAGTGACTAGGGGCGGAAGAACACAAGGGAGACCTGGGTGTTCTCCGACCAGGGACTAAGTGATTTAGGGTAAACGCGCCTTTGCAATCTCAGGCCCCCTCTCTCCCATGAATTTTACGCGGCCTGAGAAAAGAAAGTGACAGGTGTGCTCTTGCATATTTCCCACTTCCCAACGTTTCTGCAATTAATGCACCACCTCGTAGGGTGGTCTTGCGTCTCAGCCCCACAGAGCTTCGTGAACGCTGAGGCCTCACCTCTGCCCCGCCCCCTCCCGGCAGGCCAGCCAGGGTACCCGGCCCTGGGGAAGCTGAGGTGCAGGGGGTGGGGGGAGGCGGCTAGAAGCCCCCCCCCACTTCCAACGCAACGCGAGATGCGGGTCTCCGGCCCAGGACAGAACAGTGGAAAGGGAAACGAGGGGGTCCAAGCACCTGGAGGGCCCCCCCCACCCTACCCCGGTGGCTTCCCTCCCAGCTTCTGGCTCTCTTCACCCCTTCTCTCCACGACCCTCTCCCCCACACCAGCAGGAAACTTCCCGCTCGCTCGCTCGCGCCCGCCCGCCAGTTTTCCACCGGCGTCAAAAACCTCATCCCCTCGCATCTTGCCTTCCAATTTCCTCTTAGGTAGCGCCGCGAAGGGGCCCGCGGGCTGCCTGGCGACCAGAATGAATCCCTGGGGGGGCTCAGGATGGAGGATGGAGAGGGATGTCAGCTCACGACGCGCCAACTCCGTCCAACGACTGCAGGCGCCCATGGGGCGCGCACAGGGGAGGAGGGGGCCCATGCCAGCGCCGACCCCAAGTCACTTTAAGGGGCCGGCGAGGTCCCTAGCACTCGGCTGTCGACCCCCCAACCTCAAAAACCCCTGCCTCAAGGTCCAGGCTCCCGGCTTTCTGGCTCTTGCCCAGGCGCCCCCCAACCTGGCTGCTCCGAGTGCGGTACTTACTGTCGGGGCCCTCTCCGGGGCCGGGGCTGGGCGACTGCCCGGCCCGGGAACCCTCTCGCTGTCTCCCGCTCGTGCTGCCCCCGGCTGTGCCCAGCGCCGACGGTAGCGGCAGCGGCGTCTGTAGGAAGGAAAAGATCACGCCTGCCTTAGAAACCCAGCCCCTGCTGTGACCAGAATCTTAAAGAAGGAGGCGACTGGCTCGGCCCCAGAGCCGCGGCTGAGGTGGCGAACTAGCGAAGCTGGTAAACACGGCGTCTGCTGCCTCGCACCCGCCCGCAATCCAGCAATCCAGCCGCCGCCGAGCACTCGGCGGCGCCCCCGGGAGGACGCGACGCCTCCCCTCCCCGCCAGGGACGGCCCCCGCCGCGGAGCTGGGGAGGGGGAGGCTCGGAGGACACAGATGTGCAGATAATCCAGCTACTGCTTGCTGAGCACTTACTAAGTGCCAGGCACCGGGCTTCACATCCATTTTCTCATTCCAGCATCCTCTCCATTGTACAGAAAACGAAATTGAGGCTCAGAGGAGCGAAGCAAATAGCTCCCAATATATGAACTACTAATAAGTGGTGGGGCCAAGATTTAAAACCTGAGGACCTTAAATTTGGGGCTGCCTGCCTCAAAAGCCACCTGGTGCTATTGCAAAGCAGGATTCGAATGCCTGTGCCTCTACCTCTGGTTTCCCCATTTTTTCTGACCACACTAGAGATGGATGGCACTCCAGGTCCATTTGTCTGTGGAGGTGGGGCTGTGGGAGGCAGGATCTTGACTGCAGTGCCTAGAGCCAGGGAGTGGCCATCCCTCTTTAGCTCAGACACTTCATTCTTCTCACATTTATTATGAACCTACTATGTGCTAGGCCCTGAGGGAGGTAGAAAAGTCTTAGTCCAGGTGCCCGTCTAGGAGACAGGCACTGAGCCTATGAGGCCTGACTTATGCTAAAAGTGTCAAGGGGGTGGTGGTGCAGAAGTCCTAAAGGAGTGGACAACCAGTGTTCTCAGACACTCTTCCTCCAGGAGCCACTGGGAGGGGACACAGGGAGAGAGGGGCTTGCAGAGACAAGGTGGGGAGAACACTTCCCATGGGGCTGATTCCGACTCCTTCCTGCTACTGGAATAAGGACCCACACCACCCATTCCTCTTTAAAGGACCTGTGAGGGGAAGGCATCCTTGTTGGGAGACTGAGCCCCATGGCTTTCCTATGGGAGCTACCCTAAGCTTCATGTCCTGACAATAGCATCTGTGAAATGGGAATGATCTCTTACTTCTTCCTTCCTTCCTGGTCAAAATGATGAAATAGCACAGCATTCCTGTCCTTCTATTCCAATCATTTCAAAAAGAGCAGTTTTAGAACTTGTATTTCTTCCTGCCTTGCCACTACTTATCTATTCATTCATTCAGCAAATATTTATTGGCATCTCCTGTGAGCTACGCACTGGCTAGGGGCAGGGACCTCCACAGCTCTGTGGGAACAGTCCACATGAGAGGTGGAAAGATCACAGGGCTGGGATTTAGGAAACACATCTGAAGTCTTAGTTCCTTGACTAAATAGCCATGTGACCCTAGATGAGTCATGGTTCCTTTTGGGACCTCAGTTTTCTTGTTGGTCAAACAGGACCAATAATACCTTCTCATCCTACTTCACAGGGGTGTTTGTGAGGCCTGATGGAGATAATGGATGTGAAGGAGCTTTGGAAAGTATAAAGCCACTAGACAAATGTCAGGGATTAGTCTGTCTCCAAGGTGGGAGGGGGCTGCTGGGAAGTAAAGCTTAAAAGAAATCCTGGCTGCCTCTCTCAAATTGATAGCACTAAATTCCATCTTCCTCGAATCACTGAGCCTGCACCTGGGTGGGAGTCTCTGCTCTGTGAAGTATCATTCTCCTTTAGCAGTGCTCATGACACACGAGTTAGTGATGACCTGGCCTTAAGCCGGGGAGATTGTTTTGGGGACCTGAATAGAACCATCGAGACAGTTTTGGCTCTGAGTCTCTAATTCCCAGCAATAGCAGCCTCCTCCTCCTCCTTGAGCCCACCCAACCCCAGGACTTTAGATGTCTGGGTAGAAACATCATGAAGCCCCCAGAAACATCCTCTTCAGGAAGCACAAGGCTCATGTCAGATGGAAAAGGTTGACCATGAGGGTGGATGCGTTATTTTGTTGGAAACTGGGGGGGGGGGGGTGTTCTGTACTCTGCACAGATAGCTTAAGGATGACATCTGTGCAACTCTGGGCTCCACAGAATTAGTGGAGACTTTGGGAGGATCTTTAGCTTACTCAGCTCACCTCTAAAAGCCACCCCAAATATACCTGCAATCTAAATTACAATACTATACTTGCTATGCAAACACAGCTTCAAGACAAATTCCCAAATTTCCAGAAGCACTCTCCCCTACCCTTCTGTTATCCCAAGTAAACATACACTCTAAGGAAACACAGGGTCTTGCCAGGCAAAACCAATTTCCAGACAAATCCACTAGCCTCCTCCCTCCCATTCCCCCCATCCCTTATAAGATTGTCACCCTGAAGCCCCTTGGATGTAAAAATGCTAGAACTGCTGGCAAAACAGGGACGGCTCAGAAACCTGGGAGCCACAGGCAAGCCCAGAGTCGCATTGCTCAGCTCTGGAGCAGAACTAGAAGGGAAGTCAGAGACAGCAGCAGAAAGCACCCCAGGCTTGATCCAGGGCACCTGCAGCCAGCAGGTCCCTGGGGGAGGTGCAGAACAGACTCCACACCCAGCCTCCTGTGGCAGTCTCAGAGCCCATCTCTCTTGCGGCTGAGGCTCCTCTCAATGTCTTCATAGATTCCCTTGTCACATCCATCTCGCCCAGGCTGCTCCTCTTAATAAAGTGCCCCTGCGGCCACTCCAGACAGGCTGATGTTATCCTTCACTCTCCCGCCCTTCTCCCCAGCGTGGGCCACACAGCAGTGATTCAGGCCTCCCAGGTCACAGTATGGTCTTCGGGGGAAATGCTTCCTGCGCACTCCAGCCAGGGCTTGACGGATGCTCTGGTTGTAGGTGTATCAAATACTCCTTTTTTGCCCCATCAGAATAGCTTGACATCTGGATTCTGATTCTTGCCCCGAGTTCCCATGCCTACCCTGGCCTATATCTTCTTCCTTGGACCAGCTGCCACTGCTCTCCTACAAGCTGAGTCTAATTTGCAAAGCCTTCCTCTCAGTGATTGTCAGTATATCCCCCTGAAAGACCAGAAAGCTTCAAGTTCCAAAGGAATGAATCACCGATGGTGAAATTGCAGGCACAATGACAGGCAATTGAGGAGACATATTTGATCACATCGTGTTTACCTATGTGTAAGGCTGGCCCTGAGGATATTCTGGTATTTTCCCTCAAATATAATGAAGACTTGGGATAATAGCAAAGAAGGCAATAGAAAATACACCAGGCTGGGCGCAGGGACATCTTGCTGCTCATCCCAGCTCTGTCACTAATTAGATATATGGTCCTACACTTTCCCTTTCTAGGCCTCAGTTTCCCCATCTGTTAAGAGAACACTGAATTAGCTGATAATCAGGGTTCCTTTCTGTTTTATTTTTTATTTTATTTTATTTTATTTTTTGAGATGGAGTCTCACTCTGTTGCCCAGGCTAGAGTGCTGTGGCGTCAGCCTAGCTCACAGCAGCCTCAAACTCCTGGGTTCAAGTGATCCTCTTGCCTCAGACTCCCAAGTAGCTGGGACTATAGGCACACACCACCACACCTGGCTGATTTTTCTATTTTTAGTAGAGACGGGGTCTTGCTCTTGCTCAGGCTGGTCTTGAACCCCTGGCCTCAAGTGATCCTCCCACCTTGGTCTCCCAGAGTGCTAGGATGACAGGCCTGAGCTACCTCGGCCCAGCCCCTTCCTGTTTTAATAAGCTTAGATTCTAAGCTCTTTGACACTGAAACCAATTAATGTTCCTCCAAGCGTGGGCCCTGATTCCAGGACACTGGGCCTGGTGCTGCTATTTAACAGTGCAGCTAGTGTCTGACTCACCTTTTGCTATGAGAGCAAAGGGAGAATTTGTTCATTGCCCCCCACCCTGTCTTGCACCCCTCAGGTTCCCAGCAGTAGCTACCTGCCTGTGAATCCCTTATGCCCTCCTCCAGGACTGACTCCATCTGCCCCAGCATCAGGGCTGACATTCCCCAGTGAACACCTGTACCACCATCCCACTTGTTCATATCTGACATTCCTTACTTAGCAATGGGTAAATAGCTGCTGCCCCAAGCTCCTCTGAGTGCCCTCATCTGTCCTGGCACTCCTTGTTTCCAATCCAGTGACTAAAGGGTTAATGCCTGGCCCAGCAGGGAGCCTGCAGAACACTGCTCGGGTTCTAAGGTTCTAAGGGCTGTTCTTTGGACTGGTCAGTGCCTGGGCCATATAAGTGATATAAGATTTTTAGTATCACCCTAATCTGGGATTCCACTCTAGTCCAATATCCCTCCCTCTTCCCAGGCCATTTCTCTATGAAGATTTATCAAGGGTGTTTCTGAATGGAGGAATGCCTGACTCCCTTCCTCTGAGTCAGGTGGGCCCTGGTTGTTTCACAGAATGAAGAAAAAGAATTCAGCAGGAGTGGCAGCGGGGAGGGGACTGGCTCTGTAGTTAGTAGCAGCTGCCCTGGTGACCTTCTGCCCTGTGGTCTGGATCTAGTTGCCAGAGGATGAAGCCAAACGTGTTGAAATTGGAGGAACACACCTTCCAGCTATTACCCACCCACACACCAGTCCCCTCCCCTGAGGGCTAATGGGTGCTCCCCTGGCCCACCTGGGGGTACTTCACTATTTTCCTTCCCTCCTTCGTGGCCGACCCCTTCCCTTCTGCTCTTAGGCAGAGCAAGCCTCTCTAGCACTGAAAACCCCCCTCACTCGGCCCCTCTCTTTCCTCCCTCTGCTATTCCACTTCCTTCTCCCTGCCAAGACCTAGCTGCTCCAATGGGTGCTTTGCTCCTGCCGTGCGAATGTTCTGTTCTCGCTGGGCCCGGTATTAATTTGCTCTCATTTGTGAGCTGCTTTGTTAACATGTGCGCGTGGCCTTTTTTCAATGTGTAACGCTGCTCCCTGCTGCCTCTGTTACCTCCCCACCCACACCCTCCTTAACCTTGTAATAACGGGCCCTTCCCTGTGGAGAGGGGGCTGGGCTTTTTCAAAACACTTTCTTGTGCATGATGTAGTAGTCCGCTGCATCCTCACAACCACCAGAGGAGACTGAGCGGGAGTGATGACTGATCCCTGTGGGGTGGGTGAGGAGAGCTGAGAGGGCCTGTCTGCGTGGATAGCTACTGCGTGGTGGCCAAACAGGCCCAGAAGCCAGTTCTTTCCTGCAGTACCCCACATGCCTGTGTCATTCAGCTTCTGGACTGTCCTTTGTTTGAGGCGCTGACCAAGTCCCCAGAAAAGTGTATGTATGCACACACACGCATATACGGTTTTGCTTGTGATTGTATGAGGGGTCATAGAACCTCTGAGGGTCAGGCCCCTGCATCAGTATTTTTTTTTTATAAGCTGCCCAGGTGATCCTACTGTGCAGCCAGGGGTGAGCACCCCTGGCTGTAAGGAAGATGGAAAAATAAGCGACAAGAGAATTGGTGTTAGCAGCCAAGAGCTTTCTTTAAAACCTTGGGCGTTCCCAGTAAGAAAAATGTAAAGTAGATGTGAACTATGGCCTAGCTTCCTGCCTCAGTTTCCTCCATTCTGCCTAGAGGATATCATTCTACAGGCCTTCTCAGTCCCTCCCCAGCCCTGGACTGGCTTTGGAAGTCCGTCAGCACTGTGTTTGCTGTGGGAAGGGGCATAAAGAAAGATACGTACCTCCCTCCCCACTAGGCGTACGCTTGTCAATTACTGTGTAAGTGTATCTTTAGTATTTTCTGCCTGCAAAGGTGAAGCTAAATTGCCCTGACTAAGGAGGGCATGGGGTCTATCTGGAAGTGACACGTAGACACTTTCCTGTCAATCAACCAGAAAAAGAGGTTCCTCAGGTAAGAACTGAAACTCCTATGAATAATAATCATTCTAATAGCTACCCTGTATTAATCACTGACTATGTGACAGGCATTTCAGTTACACTACCTCATTTAATTACCCTCTGAA